GATAAAATTGTGAATGAAATTTGTGGATCTTTATGATAAATTAAAAAAAAACATTTAAAACCCACCTAGAGAACATGGGAAGTTGTTTTTATTTATATTTTAATAAATAAAATTTTTTGACTGGGGTGTTAAACAGAGAATCATCTTTGATTTAATATGGGGCAAACAAATGTTCTGTTGGTTAATGTGGTTTAATTAGAAAAACTCAGTGAATGTCACAGAAAGCCTCATACAGCAGTCTCTCAGGAGGAGAGTTTAATCACTCACAGAGTTGGACAGATCTGTTCAATAACAAAATTCTGAACATATATTTAATATAACGTTAGGTTTTACAGACCAAAGTCTCTGGTAGTTCAGGAGCAAAGAGCAGGAGGAGAGGAGAAGTCAGGACTGATCGCTGCAGTTACTCCAGTCGAGCCAACCGCTGCTTCAACCAAACTGCTCTCACTGAAAGTCCCGCCCTGCTCTGCTCTGATWGGAYWAAAHRGCTCTGGACTTCGTCTGATTTGTTGAAGGCAGTGTCTCAGTTTTATCTTTATATCAGGGTCCCGCTGTGGCACACAGAACAACAATCCATTCACACCAGTACCGCTGGATTCTTTTTAATTTTTTTAAGAAATCAGGTCGCATTTCATCTGGTGCGCGTTTTCCTTTTTTGACCGCGCATGCGTACCTGCGCACTGCTTATGTGCACCTCTGTGTATAAACACGCACTATCCTCTAAAAAAGTACTGTTAACTTTAGGTAGATGGGGTCAGGCAGATAAAGGGGAGAATGGGTTAAATCGTACCATACTTCGCAGAGAGCAGTCAGTAACGATTGCAGATCACTATGTGTGATAAATGACCACAGATAAGAAATGTGTCAGCAATTTTAAGTGAAAATCTTAATGGAATGGGTCTGTGACTTTCCCTGAAGATCCTTCCTTTAATTTTAAACTTCCAGAGTCTCAGAGCTTTCCCATTGTGTCTTTGGATCTTGAGAAGCATTGAAGAAACAGGGAGGAGCTGGTATTAGAGAGCTATTCAGCAGCAAGAAGACCATAAAGATTTAACCCTAGAAAAATAAAATAAAAACAGCAGTGACACCAGTCTTTGAGCCGGGTCATGACCAATTTTAAAGTGCAATAAAAGTCAAATTTTTCTTAACGTCTTTAACCTTGTGGAGCTCTGTAAGTTGACTATAACCCCAGCAAGCTGCATTATCCCAAATACTGCTGTTTCAGTTCACCTGAAACATAAAAACATCAGAAATCACAAAAGTTTTGAGCTTTATAAAGAGAACTGTGATCTGCAGTACAAACAAGATCTCAAACACTGCCCTCTGCTGGACACTAACATTACATACACTCGTGCAAAAATCAAACCCTTCAACAAGCTGTTACCCAGTAAATAATCCACATATATCTTGAACACATGACATATGTTGAATATATCAGTGCAACAGCAAACTTCCTAATTAGAAAAGATATTCAGATTTTTTTTGTCTGCAGCCCAAACACAGAGGTAAGGTTTACTGAGCCACAAGGCAAAAGACATGACCAATTTGTATGTAACGCATGACTCCCAACATCTCAGGCCAGGATCCCGGCTGTCTGCTTGGACCCGGTCAGTAAACAAGATCTAATTTCTGAAACTGATGTGTTTGAGGCAGCGTTCCCGTGCCTCAAAAGCAACTCAGTGTTCCAGGGCTTGGCAAGAGCCGGTGGAGAAACTTGGATCTGAGCTCCAGACAGAAATAAAGCAGCACAAAAAAAGAAAAAAAAAAAAAAAAGAAATACATATAAAAGGAATAACAGTTTCAAACAAAAGCAGTTTTGTGAAACTCAGGGGTAATATTGGAGAAAAGACAGATTTTTTTGGCAATGTTAGAACATTAAATTCCACCATAATCACTCTTATGCTTTGTACTTAAACTTACTTGTATAAATTTCAACAAGAGGTGATAAAAAAACAAAAGCGCTGAGGTTGTATTTTAGCTCAGTGAAAATTTCTCACCAAAACAAAGTACAAAATCTGTCAATCATGTAACCTTAAAACACGTCAAACTCAAGGCCCGCGGGCCAAATGTGACCCAACACAGCATTTTATGTGGTCTGCGAGAGCTTCAAAGATGCAATAAAATCTTTAAATACTCATTTGCTCCAGCAAAGCCAGCACTGACCACAAACTGCATCTCTCAAAACGCATGTAGATTATTTTACCCACAAAATGGCAGCATCCACCACTAGGTGGAGGTGCACAGGGGTCAAAAGCAATCCGCAGCCAGCAAAATTTGCTGCGCAAAAATCTCCATTTTTTGCTCCTTTTTCTGTGGCCCAATTGTACTGTAAGTGGGGGATTTCCCACGTACAAGTCTAGATAAAACTGCAATGCCCCCTCCAGTGGGAATACCCTGTCAGAATGTGGATGAGTTCAGTATCCAAGATGGCAACTACTCACCACATCTCATCAGTTAGTAAAATGTTAACTTTTAACAGTATTTCTGTATTATTTTTTTCACATTTAGTCAGTAACACACATTAATTTTCAGTGTTTATAACAGGACGTTAAAACACTGTTTCTGTGCAGGAAATACCACATAGAGCTCAGTTATTAGTGATGCTCAGCTGTAACAATGGGACGAGGAATGTGATATTTTGTGTTTAGTCGAAGTTAAACAAGAAAACCTTTGAGGGCCTCCACAATGATCTTTTTTGAGGCCCTCCATGAAAATGAATTTAACATCCCTGCCCTCCCCCGGTTTTTTGTTTTCAAATAATAATAAAAAAAACATTATTGACAAGAACTCTTCATTGATCACTCTGACATCTTCCACCTGATTAATAAAAACGTTGGCAAACATTTGTAATAACTTAAGAAACACCTCAACTCTACAGAGTGCTGATTTACAGTTCGAAACTAAAGTCAATTTTGCATAATAACAAGGAAGGAACTGAACAGGAAAAAACAAACTGATCTTATTTAGTTAAACCTGCCGTTGAATTGTAGCTGACTCAGCATTATTACATTCCTCAGCCAATCAAACCGACTCTTTTCTCTTAATTATGCCAATTTTCTATAAACTAAATTTTTAATCTTTATTTTTACAAAACCTAATCATTTCCTTAGGTTCTTTACTGGGATCATGTTCCTGTCCTATTGGTGTCTTGTTTTAAAATCAAAGACTCAGAAGCATTTTTTTACTTCTTACTTCATAAAACACGCAGTTACACATCAAAATGTGCAGTTCTATCTGTGACATGCTTAGGAGTTCATAAGTACACCACCAGGGCGGCCATAGAGGGTGATATGGGGTGGGAGCCCTGTCTGATCAAACAGAGAGCAGAAGTCATTCGATTGTGGAACCGCCTTGTGCGTTTACCTGAAGATAGGCTCACCAGAAAAATTTTTAATTGGGACAAATTTCATAGATATCCCTGGTCAAATGATGTTTTAGCATTATTTTCTTTAACAAACAGTACATTTTTATTTTTTAATAATTTACAATGCAAAATTACAACATTTAGGCAAACATTATTTCAGAAATACAAGGACCAGTGGAAATTTGAGGTGCTCAATAAACCAAAACTAAGAAGTTATGTTCAATTTAAAGATAATTTTGAGACAGAGCCTTATGTTGAAGGTAACTTAAAGAGACGGCAACGATCTCTTTGCGCGCAATTAAGAGCGGGGGTTTTGCCTCTTGCTGTTGAGGTCGGGAGATACAAAGGGCTTTTGGAGGAACAACGTGTGTGTGTTTTATGTSATTTAAATGTTGTTGAAGATGAATTTCATTTTTTGTTTTACTGTCCATTATATAATGATCTGAGAATGTCTATGTTTGAAAAGATCCAGCATAGAAATCCTGATTTGTTTTGGTTATCAGAGGGTGATATGTTAAGTTGGCTTTTTGACAAAGATACTTTCATTTTGGCAAAATTTATAGAAAGAGCATGGGTGCGTAGACAATTAGCACTTTATCCTGTTGTGTAAAATATTGTTTTTGTAAATGTATGGCCACTTCCTTTTTGTCCATGGTGTCTTATAAGCCTGTATAGGCTGGGCACTTTTAGTGCATGACACTTAAATAAAAATTTCATTCATTCATTCATTCATTCATTTCATTCATATAAAAAAAGGAATTCATTAAAACACTATAAATTTCCTCATGGAAGCCAATGGGTTTTTGACAACACATGACACGTCCCAGCACTTTTGGAACTTTATAGTTTTTTTTTTCACATCATTTAAAGTTTAAACAAGTCACATAAAGTTGGACTTTACATGTTTGAACTGGAATTTTGATCTAAATTAGATGATCCAGTTTTTTTCTGCAGAACATCCAGCTGACAGTTCAGGACACTAATTCTTAAACATTTGGCAAATAACTTCAACATTTTAGTACATAAACAAATGATATTATCATTTTTCACCTTGTGGTAAGACTTATGGTCAAAATCTCCCAAAATACAGAGGCCACACCCTGGGGTCATATGCACAATCTTCCGTAGACTTTAGTTAGATCAGGGGCATCCAATCCTGGTCCTTACAAGGAAACTATCCTGTAGGTTTTACAGGTTCCTCTGCTCCAGCACTAGCCTGGTTAAAACCAGCCCCATGTCCTTCGAGCAGTGAAGGGAATGAGCAGAACTGCATAGGAAGGCAAGGGCCAGGCTACTCCAGCACACCTGATCTGAATTAATGGGTGATTAACAGCCTCTGCAGAACTCGAAGGCCATTCAATCACTGAATAAGGTGTGTTGGTGCAGGGAAAATGGTAAAGCTTGCAGGAAAGTGGCCCCTGAGGGCCAGGTTTGGACTCCCCTAAGTTAGCTCAACAAGTGAGGACTCCTAAACCTATCGTCTGTATAAAAGATTGCAGAAACTTAAAAACTTGCGTGACACCATCAGAGCTATCTGCTGCTAACGGGTCAAGAATTTAGGAACTCCATCCGACTGTTAATTAACTATTTAGAGGTCTGCTGGTTTTTATTTTGACAACACAGAACTTCTGTCCAGAGGGCAGTTTTTCAAAAAGGTAGTGTACCAGGTGACGTCTGTTGTCTGCCATCTACTCAGCCCATCTCACAACCCTATGCAGTCGGTCTACTGCCCAGCTTGATGATGCAATGAAGCCTTTAGTGTGGACAGTGGAACCAAGGTAGAACACTGAAATGGAGGTGGTCTGGACTGTATACTGATCGTATCTCTGTAGAACTGGGGACACACTTCATCGGAGAGGTTTAGCTTTTTAAGCACCCTTAAAGGGATCCCTAATTAGTTGGAACATTAGACTTTTTTTGTTAAAATTTATTTTAACTGTAAAATAAAGACTGTAAAAATACTGTAGGCTGTTGTTTGTCTCGTTTGTCTCTATGTGGCCCTGTGATGGACTTGCGACATGTCCAGGGTGTACCCCATCCCTCGCACTGTGACTGCTGGATATGGGCGCCAGTGACCCTGAAAGGAAGAAGCGTGTACAGAAAATGGATGGATATTTTAAAACTGATGGAGCCATTTTATTTACACACAAAGCATTCTGGGTGAATGATGACGTAGACAGGTCATCGGTGTGAGCGAGCTATATCCACCCTGAAGGTTAGTCTTGGACAATATCTGATGATCGACTCTTTTAAATGAAACCAGAGAGCGTTGACAGAGAGGAGAAGGTAGAAATGACTCAGCCTGATGGAGGAAAACAGAGCAGCTTCATGGAAGAAGAACCTCAGACTGTTAGCCTTTGCGCTAGTGTCGACGCTATATTGCCTTATATGTATTAGCTCAGTGCTATCGTGACAGACTAACAAGCAAAACGGAGGTCCTCCATACATATTTTCAGTTGCAGGCTGAGTCATTTCTACCTTCTCCTCTCTGTCAACGCTCTCTGGTTTCATTTAAAAGAGTCGATCATCAGATATTGTCCAAGACTAACCTTCAGGGTGGATA